GACCAGGCATTCTCCATCTCTTTGTTTTTTTTGCCTTTTCTTTTTCTTTTAAAAGCCCAGGGTGTTGTAGGGGCCAGTTACTAGGCACACATTGATCGCCCGGAGCGATCAGCAATGGTTGTCCTGTGGCTGAGGGAACGTGGATACCCATCTCAATCAGCTCAGCTGCTCAGGAACCCTTCAGTCAAGTCTGCTGTGGTCTTCACGGCAAGGGTTTGACCTTAGATCCACAGATTGCTCGTGTTCCACTCGTGTGTCTTCTCTTGAAACCTAGTCGCATCGCTCTCAATTGCATTGGAAGGCAGTTTCAGGCTTGCCCTCTCACAGCCACAGCCTTGTTTTAGCGTTGAACAAGTACCCACTCAAAAGAAAAAAAACTGAATAGCAATTGGCCTCTAGCTCAGTTTTTATATCGAATGAGCTGGTGAAAAACTGCCCCGTGTTAATCCAGATAAGAAAAAAAAAATCTGAATGAAGCATCGAATCAACCACCGCCAACTCCTTGCCCCAATCACACGAACCAACGAGCACTGATGCCTTTCAGCCACTCGTTGTCAACCTCCATCAGGCAAGAAAAACCTTCAGCTAATGTTCTCAGCGTCGTACGGTACCGTTTTTGGTAGTACGTGCCGTCTTCCCAGCAAGGGTTCTAACTGAGATCCAAACTTTCCAAAGGTTGGTCATCCTTAACTCGGCATCTGGTTGGGAGTCTTGGGACTAAGTGCCAGCGGTCTCCAATTTTGTGTCCGAGCGTAGTTTCATATCCCTCTGTACGAGCGAGCACAGATGGTAGGTCAGGCGCAAAAAGATCATACAGTCCGTAGCCAGATATGAAAACGTATTTGACACCATACAACGAAAACCCGGACTAACGAGTGGCGCAGGGCAGAAGTGAGGCCCTGAAAGCAGACCCGGGTTCACTGATATGCTGCAGGCAGTGCAGGGTAGTCTGCTGGGAAAGGGAAAATTTTCATCGGAACCTCGTTAGCTATGTACCTGGGAAAGCACGCATTTCGTCATGGTACGCTGGGAATGCCCTACACAAACTCCAGGGACCGATTGGTGTAGCCCAAATTGTCGTTGTTTTATTCAGTCAACCTTCAAGGTACAAGAACAGTCTGTTTTGGAGATAAGGACTTACTAACATCTCTGGGCCCAGTATGTCGACTTACTAGTTCGCAAAAAATATTTGTATACCTGGGTACCATTTGGCCACAGGGGTGATAATGGTCCACACACACACACACACACACACACACACATACACACATACACACATACACTCGCACACACACACACACACACACACACACACACACA